GACGGAAAACATGGAATTTTGGCATAATCTTGCACCTAAGTGTCTGATATTCAAATTTCGCTTTCTGGGTCGAAACTACTCGAATTTCCTCACTCAAGTTGTTACTTGGGGATCCGCCCCTGCGATCACAAAGCCTGTCTAACGTGAATTAATTTAGTAAGGAAAACTCCTTCCATCCAGAGGCGCCAAAGTCAGCAAAAAAACGCAGAACTGATAGGAAACTCCATTGCGTCTTGATCTCTCCGCTTCGCTTGGCGTCCCGATTAAACTCGCATTTTCGCTCATTTCTGCGCGAACGCGAATAGTTCTGATCTATTTGCAAAGGAAGCGTGCAAAAGACTACAGTCATGGACTGCTGAAGTGACGAAAAATGCGGCGAAGTTCTGAGCAGGCTCCCCAAAGAAGACTGAGTGAAAAATTCAAAGCAAAGAGACGCGAGAAGAACAAACCAAGTAACATTGTATGTAGGGTTTTAAATAAACGATTACATTTTCATTAAAAGCGCCTTTCAATCTAAACCTTATGATCAATGAAGAGTTTTTCAGTGTCCGGAAATTCTAAATGAAAGGGATTTTTCGCGGCTTAAGTGGACAAATAATTTTTGGAATAAGACAAATTTACTGCTTTCGGCAGGACTTGAACCTGCGACCTTCATGCAGTCATGAAAGCAGTAAATTTTTCTTATTCCAAAAATTATTTGTCCACTTAAGCCGCGAAAAATCCCTTTCATTTATGGTCAATCTGAAGGACTTACGAAGCTAAATGAGGACAAACAGCCACTACTCAAGGTGATCAACCAGTGCAACTGAGGACGTTGTCCACGTACTGAACTAACGTGCAAAACTAGCTAGATTAACCAATGAACATTAAGAATAACAGAAAAATGCTTACCAATAGGAATATGCCACGCAGGCAAAAATCATACACACATTCAGTATAAGGTGAACCAAAAAACGTCATGCTTGTTTGGACATGCAATTCAAGTCCTACTTCTTATTGAATATGGAAAGCTGGTTTATGCGTGCACTGTTCACAAACTAAACAAAATCTTTCCCTTATAGTAAGGTTGAAGTTCAGCGGAACCGAAATCTGTTCAAAAAACAACTACTTTGAAGTAAACAAACCTTTTTCCTTACAAAGGTCAATAAGCAAAAAAGCTACAACTAAATAAGCTACAGCATCTTACAGGAACACCCGAAAAAATCGGTGTCCGTTTCTACTTTCGACGTTTACTGCTACTAATCAAGACCAAAATTCGGTGAAAATTTTCAGCGGAATCGAAAGCGACTGGCCAAAACTACGGAACTTAAACAGTAGCTAGAGTTGTTGATAAACTGCCTGCATAAATGAATCGCCATCAAACTATTGCTTTTATCAACAAAACCATACTCGGTGCAGATCAGATACGAATGAAGGCATGGTTCGATGGTCGAGGTGCAAATGGTTCAGCCCAAACTATCACCGTGATGAGAACATTTCCAATGGCACCTTACTATAAGGAAAAGGTTCCATCTAACACACAGTTCGAAGCGTTCTAGTCAGGAATTTATTGGTCTGGTTTTAACCACCGATCCCCGATGCCCAACCAATGAAAATAAGCAGAGAGACAGTCTTCATGCAATATTTTTGCAGTGCGAAGGTTTTTCAAGGCCTCCTTGAACCAGCCGAGTATTTTTTCATTTCTTTTTGATGCTTCTTCAGGCTTTGGTCACATGAATGTGTTTGTTCTTCACCTTTTCCTCCTTCTGATTCGACTTAGAAGGACTTTTTCACAGACTTCTTTCACTCGCTGAATGCTCCATATTCCCTGTTCTATATATGTGCCGATTTTCCTTGACAGTTGGCAAAGAAACATTGGGTGATGGCAAAAAGGAAATTTATGCGAAAATTTTCCCTTTTGCTTTTGGGGCTTCGACTAGGCCTAAGGATCGTTTTCCCGAAAATACCTAGGAAAATTGAATGTTTTCTCTTACGGGAAAAACAATCCAGATCTGCATGCCAAAAATTTCAGATGGATTTCATGAAAGTAAAGCCCCCACACTTAGCTGATCCACAATCTTACATACATATAATACATGCAAACATCAATTGCTCTGGATGAATGTCCCGTGGTCTCAATTTGTCGTCTGCTTATTTTCAATGATTGCGCCGATTTCCATTTTTCTGGACAAACAGTCGATGTTAATTTTCTCTTTCTGTAGATATACAGGGTGATTGAAAACTGGGTGCCTCAAGAAGGGCCATTTCATTCCCGAGATGAAACCTCGTCCAATCCATTGAACTTTCATATCAGGAATAGGGCCCTTAGCGGTTTGCCCCTGTAAACTGTTGAGAAAATAGTCGAAAACAAACAAACAAGTGCAAAAGATTTGCGGAATAATTGGAAAAAATCGATGCAGTGGTGGGTGCTGAATAGTGCAAAAAATGGGGGAAAGTTGTTTGGGGAATTCGTATACAGAACATTAGACCAATAAATTGAAAACTATGAGTTCCATGAGCCAAAAAATCAACGGACATCTGTTTAAGTAGGAATATATATGTATGTGTAATATATCCAAAGAAAACAATGTAATATAAAGTATTAAGGCAAGCATTAGAAATTTATTTTTGGTTTTACTCGTGAGAAGTTATAGCTTCTTTGAAGTTGGAGCTCCACTTCCAGTCATACTACATGGTTCAACAAAAACACAGTTTTATCAATGCTGGGTCAGTACACAGGTAAGCTAAGTGTATTTAAACATTATCGTATACAATTGTTCAATAAAGTGCTCGACGATGCTTCCTCAGGAGACTCGTTTTCTTGCACTTTTTCACTCTATCGTTTACTCAGTTTATGAGAGAGATGCGTCTACAGCAAAAGGAAACCTAAACTATTTTAGGCGGTGTTTGGATCAACCATATTTGTCGCGATTTTCCCAGAAAATCCTCCACAAATATGCTTGACGAAGGAGGTCAAAATAGTTAAGGCAACATTGGAAATGCGTGTGATCCGGTTTAATAGGTAACCTTTCATGTGAACTTAAGGTATTTGCTAATTCTCAAGAAAAACTCTAATTAAATGGGCCAATTTATATGAAACAGGCGTCGGTTATTGTCAGTCTATTCAACCTCTATTTCCTTAGAGGTGAGGATTTTGAGAAAATCTGGATCTGCACGCGACAGCTCTTGAGATGCTCCATCGAAAAGGTTCTAATGATTTTTTGGTAGTTCTACCGTTTCCGAGATACTCACGAAAAAGTCCCAGACTTTTACAAAAAGAAACTGCTGAGCTCTTCGAAACGCTCTAGCAAAATTACCCTGAAGACTGATTTTTTTACTGTTTTCCCCTGTCATCTCTTTGGAGGTAGGAAGTTGGGTAAAAGAAAACCTTCTTAGAACTAAAGTTAATTCACTTTGGCCCCTGAGTAAGTTGAGGTCATTAGGACACAGTAAACTGCTTCATTCTCGTGACTTTTATTGAGCAGACGACACAACCGTGAGTGGAGCAGGACGAGTAGCCCGTTTCTCCATATAAATTGGCCGCTTTTAGCGAAAATTGCATGCGCATGAAAACTTTACAAAACTCGGACAACACAGCTACTGAAGCCTGCTCACCTTGCTGTGAGTGGACGATGAGGTAACTGGGGGCGTGTCGGTGGCGATGGGCGAAAGCCTTCCATCGCTATTGGAATTTGAGCAGGGAAGTCGTTGTTCTTGAACACTGGCTAGTCTGGAACAGAACGATCCTGAACCACTGTTCCGGATGGCGTGGCCGATTACCTCTTAAGGGTGACAAGAGTTCCAGTTAGCTTTTTGCAACGGCGTAGCGCGCTCTCCAGCCGCTCGGGTTCCTCCTTGAGGAACTTTTCTTCGCGCATCATCTTGTCCATTTCGGTGGCCAGCAGGGCCTTCATGCTGTCCTGCAGACCTGGGAACCTAAAGCGAACCTCCTGGATGAATTGGGGCGTGGCCCGCAGGAGTTTACCCACCGCAGTTTCAAGTCGGCAACAGTTTTGGAACTCTTGCTCAGGATCAGTGCCATGTTTTCCACATCAGACATGTTCACTCTGGTCTTGCGGTTGATCACATTGCCTCTCAGTTCCTCCACCGTGGACTCCAACTCGCTCAGATCTTTTTCCAGCCGCAGCATTTCCTGCTTGTATAAGTCTTCTTCCCTGCTGAGTCTCACCCGTTCTTGGTCCATGCCTAGGTAGGGAACTTGGTCAGTCTCTTTGGTCAAAAATTGCACTCAAAGAAAATTTGTGCACCGTCCGATCCAACGCGACTCCGAACTTGAAACTTTCAGAGTTCATGCAAAATAGTTGAACGTGAAAACCGTAGGGAATTCTTTTTAATCGCATCAGATGCTGATTTTTGCCCGCTTCGTAAGTGTTGATCTGAAAAAGTGCTCACGCGATTGCAGCTGCTCGCACAAAAATTGTTAACTTCCGATCAAGAGCCAGCAGGAACTTGAACACTTCAGAATCCCTTCGAATTTAAGAACCCTAGAAAATTTAATTGAATTTGCATTGCAGGCTGATTTTTGCAGCCTTTGTAAATGTTGGTCGAAAAATTGATGTTTTTACGCGTTTGCAGCTGCTTGCGCCAAAATTTATAAATTCCGATCGAGAGCGACCAGGAACTTGAAATTTGCCGAGTCGATTGCCTTTACTTGGATCTGAACACGCTCAGAAATTCATTTTAATCGCACCAGATGCTGATTTTTGCGACCGCTGTAAATGTTGGCAAAAAAATGTCTGCTTTCTTGCGATTGCAGCCGCTCGCTTAAAACGTCGTAACTTCCGAGTTAGGGCGAGCAGTAACTCGAAATTTTCAGAATCGATTCAAAACACTTGGGTCGAAAAATTGAGAGAAACTAGTTTAAATCGCATCGGGAGCTGATTTTTTATCTCTTTGCAAATGTTGATCTAAAAAGTATTTTTTTAGCGCATAAAGCATAAAAATTCAAACTTTCGACATGGAACTTGAAATTTTCAGAGTCGATTGAAAATAGTTGTGCCTGGAAGTCGTGAAAAACTCGCTTTAATCGCACCAGAAGCTGATTTTTTGGATCTTTGCAAATGTTGGTCTAAAAGTAAACTTTTCACCCGATTGCAATTGCTGCCATCAAAATTTATAACTTTTTGGATTTTTTTGGGGATTTGGAAATAGCAGCAACTTGACATTTTCACATTTCATCCAAAACACTTCAATCTGCAAATTCTAAAAACTACTTTCTATTCTATTCTTTCTATTTCTTCACTATTTGTGAATGCTGACCCAAAAATTTAGGTTTTATCGGAACTGCAGCCTCTCCAATAAAAATTCATAACTTCCGATCGAAAGCGCGAACCAACTTGAAACTTTCACAGTCTATGTAGAATACTTGAACCTACAAACCCTGAAAATTTGGGTGAAAACGCGTCTGATTCTGATTTTAGCGCTTTGCGCAAATATTGGCCTAAAAATTTATATTTTCGTGCAAGTGCAGCCGCTCATATAAAAATTGATAACTTCCGACCTAAGTCGAGCAGCAACTTGACATTTTCATATTCTATCCAAAACGCTTTAATCTGCAAACTGTGAAAATTTCATTCAAATCGCATCAAATGTTAACTTTTGCGCTCCTTTCATATTTTGGCCTAAAAATATATGTTTAATTACTGCTGCAAGCCCTTCAATAAAAATTCATAACTTCCAAGCTGGAGCGACTAGGAACTTGAAATTTTCAGAGGCGATTGAGAATAGTTGAATCTGAAAACCCTGCTAAGTTTATTGAAATTACAACGGAGGCTGAGTTTTGCTCTATTTGTGAATGCTGATCCAAAAATTTTGGCTTTATCGAAACTGCAGCCTCTCCAATAAAAATTCATAACTTCCGATCGAAAGCGCAAACCATCTTAAAACTTTCAGTCTATGTAGAATAGTTGAACCTACAAACCCTGAAACTTTTGGTCAAAACGCCTCTGATTCTGATTTTAGCGGTTTGCGCAAGTATTGGCCTAAAAATTAATATTTTCGTGAAAGTGCACCCGCTCATATAAAAATTCATAACTTCCGACCTAAGTCGAGCAGCAACTTGACATTTTGAGATTCTATCCAAAGCGCTTGAATCTGCAAACTGTGAAAATTTCATTCAAAACGCATCAAATTTTAACTTTTGCGCTCCTTTCATATTTTGGCCTAAAAATATATGTTTAATTACTGCTAAAAGCCCTTCAGGAAAAATTCATAGCTTCCAATCTGGGGCGACCAGGAACTTAAAATTTTCAGAGGCGATTGAGAATAGTTGAATCTGAAAACCCTGTTAAGTTTATTGAAATTACAAAAGAGGCTGATTTTTGCTCTATTTGTGAATGCTGACTTAAAAATTTAGGTTTTATCGGAACTGCAGCCTCTCCAATAAAAATTCATAACTTCCGATCGAAAGCGCGAACCAACTTGAAACTTTCACAGTCTATGTAGAATACTTGAACCTACAAACTCTGAAAATTTTGGTGAAAMCGCCTCTGATTCTGATTTTAGCGRTTTGCGCAAATATTGGCCTWAAAATTAATATTTTCGTGCAAGTGCAGCCGCTCATATAAAAATTCATAACTTCCGATCTGAGCCGAGCAGCAACTTKACATTTTCACAATTAGTACAGAGCGCTTAAGTCTGCACACTCTAAAAAATTCAGCAAAATCGCACCAGATACCGATTTTTGTGCTCTTTGTAAATGTCGGTGGAAAATTTGCATTTTGCATTTTCCAATCGGACCCTGAAAACGGTTGGAAAATCTACCAATCGAAACGGAGTGATAAAATCAACGGGTTTCTTCAAAATGCTTCAACGAACAAGCCGGAGGAAAAGGAGGAAAAAGGTTCACCTGCTTGCCAGACTTGTTCGCCTCCAGCCAACAACGTGGCCCTGATCTTGATGAAAGCATCCCGAATAGTCTCCTTAACGGAGTGCGCTTGCGCCTGCGACATTCTGCGCAGATTCCTCACTTCAGCCCGCAGATCTTTGGCCTTTTTCTGCAGGCCGCGCAGCTGATTGTACATCTCGGGAGTGAGTTGCAGGTCCCGGTAAATCCGACTGTCGTATTGGCCGGGCGAAAGTGAGGCCGGCTTGGGAGGGGGCGCCGGCTTCAGTCGATCCCGCTCTGAAAACGCCCAGAAATGTTTAAAAAAAAGACCACTTGAGACCAAATGGGAAAGAAATTGGGAAACTGCGACTTACCCTGCGACGAAGTCCTGGGAAGCGTGGATGACTTAATGGCGGGTTTGGTGGGTTTTTGGTCCGCTGACGCGATGCAAATGCACCAAAAAACAACGCAGTTAGTAAGAAAAACAAAACACTCAACATGCATCCAGATGGGGTTGTATCTACAGGGTGTTGTCGAGATTATTGTGTGCGTTTACCTGCATGTTGAGGACTGTGCTGTTTAGGCGAGTTCATTTCGGGCGGTTCGTCGCTAAATGAGACCGACTTCTCAAAGGAAACGGACTTATCTAAAAGTATACATATGTTAGATGATTGATTGGCCAATTGGGTGATCGCAGGAGCGTCGACTGTTCGATCAACTACTCCTGAATTTCCTCAAAAAAAATCCAAGTGAGTCAGGCAATTTTGGCTTCTGAGGCCGCTCAGAACTGATAGATTTGCTACTGAATGCTCCTAATTGTCACAAGTTAGAAAATGACTAAATAATAATAAACAAAAAAGGCATAGTCATGCTCCTGATGAAAGATTGGGCTTAAAGAAGCCGTCTAAAGCTCCGAAACGAGCCAATTTCTTCAGTCTTGGTCACTAACTAAAGACAGCAAGTAGCATGCAGGCACAGTTTTATAAAGAGAGGACAAAGATACGAACCATACAAGCATGCCTAAAAGTAAAAATTCTTTCAACTTACGACAGCCGCTTTTACCCAATTTGGGCGCTTTGCTGTCGGACCGAAGGAACGAATCATCTGCCAAAAAAGTACAAAAAATGCGTTAATTTGTACAGGTTTATGCCAATTGGGAACTTGTTATCTCTTGCTCAAAAAGGTTTTAATTCCAAATTTTGAATTTCATACCTTTACAGCTTTGCCGGGTGTTTTCCTGATGAAAGTGGTGGAAATGATTTTTTTCTGCTGGTTAAACCCAGAGCACTAAGAAAAGTTTCTTTGCCGAATTCCAATAGAATTAAGTAAGTTACACAGCGTAAGTTTTACACAGCGATTTTATGGTGTTTGCTAAGAAAATTCGCATCATTTTGTTGGTATTTTATGGACCATGATCTCTTTCATAAGTGGTAGAAGTTTCGATTTTCAGTCATCATCAGGCTTTTTTCAAAATTGTTTTAAATTTTGCTGTAAATGCAGTTGTTTATGCAGGCTTAAGTCTCATCAGGGAATTTTGAGGATTTAACAAAATTGCCGTACAACGTTTCCGTTGAGGCCTGGGTAACGCAGTGCATTTTTAGGAATTCGGCGCAGTGCTACGCAAAGGGCTTAGTGCGCCACCCAACGCAACGGCGCAGTAACTCAGTTCCGTTGCTGGGAAAATGTTGGCGACTTTTTTCCACCTGTTTTTAGATTTCTTTTAAGGGCCATTTATTAAGCCAATCTTTTTTACATTTCATCAACAGGGAGATTTTGTAATCTTTTTCAAATTTTGTCTGGCAGCGCTGTGTCTGATTACCAAGGGCGGATCCAGGGGGGGTCATGGGGGTTCAAAAAAAAACTACGCAAATCTAAAACTTCTTGAATTCAAGCCTTTTTTGAGAAAACTGCCAACATTTCCCCATCCCCATTCTTTCTAAAAAGGCCATTTATTTCTCTCTAGAATGATGTACAAATGAGCGTT